TATATATATATGAATATATACTCATTTGATTATATATGATATATAAGATATATCCAAATAATTATAATGTGAAATTACACAAATAAATTTAGAAAATGTTTACTGTTGAAATCAACATGCTAATTATATTCCTTTAAAATTGCATTTGTTGTGGGATACATGAATTTATATTCCAGCTCTGAATAAGTATGCAAATATTATTTCCCTCTATAGTAATAGCATTCCTTACATTGTCGAATTTCTGTACTCATAGAAGGATTTACAAAGTTTCTTCAAATTAATCACCACGAAACACTTGCATTTGTTTTTGTTTTCTCCAATAATGATACTTAAAGACACCACAAATGCTTGCTTAAATGAACAACATCATAAAGCTTCTCTTTTGATATAAAGTAAGTTTTTTTTTTTCCTGCTGAGCAAGATGGTGCCACTCACTCCACCGCTGTGACAAGAGCGAGACAATACAAAAAACAAGCAAACAAATATGCGAGAAATGGGGTGGATTCCTGTGTGAAAAACCTTATAATTTAAACAAGATACACAAAAAGAATACCCACCATAGAAACATGAATACGTGCATTAAAAAAATTATAATAAAAAACTCTTGCATAAAAACCATTCACAATATAAAAAATTCCACAGATGCATATAAATCCCTTAGATAAGCGAAAAGAGACCTAGAGATGAAAACACGATAACAAAATAGGAATACATAATTTAACAAATCTCATTTAAAACAGAACATTGTATTAACATGCCATAAGAAAACTTAATATATGTGTTAGACTGCATGAACAAAGTTTCACAAAAATCATCTCATACCTAAGACCAGTGGACTTAATTCATGGAATACTTCTGTTAGGACCACATTCTTAATAAAAATCATTATCAGATAATTATAACATATGTACATATTACCCATAGTTACCTCATTTGATTATAATGATTGCTTGAAAGATAATCTGCAACAAAAAACAAAAAAACTGCTAGAAAAACTTACTAACGTTAACACAACTAACAGTACACCACACTGTTACAAGTTAGTTACATAAAAGACATTTGGAATTTATTACTTTTTTCTTCTTCGTAAGATCCTCCAGAGCTGCTACTATATCGAGACTCCAGCCTGTGATGTTGACGGTTCAAATGACTGTTCAGCCCGCCGTAGATGTCCAAGTGCACGTAGCTATGGGAACGATCACTGAAGTTAGTCACAGGTCACAGGAAAATGGCATTGTACTTTATGTTTCACTTCGTACATTCAAAAAACAACAAGTACACAAAGCACTAACCAAGGTTGACTATGATATGTATTCATCTCCACCTTATGATTCAAAAGCTTAAGCTTTTAGTCAATTATTTCTACCTAAAGATTTTCCCCACTCCAATAGGTGTGTGTGGTTAAGAATGTTCTGGTCTATAAAACAGGCAGAATACCTATTTAGAAACATCTAGAATTGTAAGCAACACAAAAAGTGGGTCACGACACTCCACCAATTCATCCATAAGAGCATGTAAAAAATCCTCCACGGCAGTAACTCTAATATTGAAACCATCAATGTGAAAAATTTCCAATACAGAAATATATTTCTTTACCGGGATTTCAACCCAACAAAATACACATTCCAATGCAGAAATTATCAGTTATTCCGATGACAATCGGTATGTGTGAAACTGAAAGGCTAATGAACACAGGAGTGCTTACCTTTCTTCCATGTTCTCTTTGACAGGCTTATTATCAGGATTCCCGTCTGTGGGAGCCACCATGGTATTGCTACTGGAAGTAGTTCCTGGAATCCGAGACAGAGCAAACCTTGTCAATTTAAAAACCTGGAACAGGCCGGGCACGGTGGGTCACGCCTATAATCCTAGCACTCTGGGAGGCCGAGGCTGGAGGATTGCCCAAGGTCAGGAGTTCGAAACCAGCCTGAGCAAGAACGAGACCCTGTCTCTACTAAAAATAGAAAGAAATTAATTGGCCAACTAAAAATATATAGAAAAAATGAGCCGGGCATGCTGGTGCATGCCTGTAGTCCCAGCTACTGGAGAGGCTGAGGCAGGAGGATCGCTTGAGCCCAGGAGTTTGAGGTTGCTGTGAGCTAGGCTGATGCCATGGCACTCTAGCCCGGGCAGCAGAGTGAGGCTATCTCAAAAAAAAAATATATATATGTGATGCTTAAATTTGAGACTGTAGCCCTCTGCATCCTTCTTACCCCATTGGGCTTCTAGAGGCTTGAAGAATGTGTGTATGTGTGTGACTAAATATATATAATCCATAGACACACACACACACACACCCTCTATTGTTATGGTAGGCAGATGACTCGTATAGTTTTCTCTGGGGAGTCTGATTAATCCAGGAGAAAAGACCCACAGACTGATGTCACTGAATTCGTCCTATAACAAAGGACACAGTTGACAATTTCCATATATACTTACAGAACTTACAAATTGTTAATACTCCACTCTTTAGCAAAATATAGATCTAGAATTGGTAAAGCTTCTCCTAAAACAAATCAAAGCACAGCTACTTGGAAGGCTGAGGCAGAAGGATTGCTTGAGGTCAAAAGTTCGAGATGAGCCTGGGCAACAAAGTGAGATCCCATCTCGAGAAAGAGAGAGAGAAAGAAAGAGAGAGAAAGAAAGAAAGAAGAAAAGAACGAGAAAGAAGAAAAGAAGACGAAGAGCAGAAGAAAGACAGAAAGAAAGATAGAAAGAAGAGAAAGAGAAGAAGAAGAAAGAAAGAAGAAGAAAGAAAGAAAGAAAAAGGAAAGGAGAGAGAGAGAGAAAGAAAGAAAGGAGAGAGACAGAGAGAGAGAAAAAGAAAAGAAAAGAAGAGAAGAGAGAAGAGAAGAGAAAGAGAAGAGAGAAGAGAAGAGAGAGAAGAGAGAGAAGAGAAGAGAAGAGAAGAGAAGAGAAGAGAAGAGAAGAGAAGAGGAGAGAAAGACACTAAGCCAGGGCATAGTGGTGCATGCCTGTAGTCCCAACTATGCAGGAAGACTGCTTGAGCCCAGGAGTTTGAGGCTGCTGTGAGCTAAGATTGTGCCACTGCACTCCAGCCCTGGTGACAGAGCGAGACATAGTCTCTTGAAAAAAAAAAAAGAAAAGAAAAATCAGCAATAACAATATAGAGAAAATGGGGATTTCTGTTGTGTGAAGAAAACTTTATAACTTTATCAGATACACAAAAAGATAGTCCAACACAAAACATGAATACGGTGCTATTAAAAAAATTATAATAAAAAAACTCTTTGGAATTAAACCATTCTAGCAGATATGAAAAAAATTCCATAGATGCATTATTAGACATCCTTAGAAAGCAGAAAAGACTAGAAGATGAAAACAGAATAACAAAATTATGAATACATAATTTAAAATATCTCTATTTATACAGATAACATTGTTATTAACATGATAAAAAACATTTATATTGACTGCGTGACAGAGTTTCACAGAAAATTCATCTACAATAGCCTAGATACTGTACTGAATTTCATTGAAGTTATTCTGTTAGGGACACAGTTTCTTTAATTAAAATATTATTATAATAATTATAACTATATATATATAAGAATATATACTCATTTGATTATATATTGATATAGCCCTAACAGATATATCCAAATAATTATAATGTGAAATTACACAAATAAATTTAGAAAATGTTTACTGTTGAAATCAACATGCTAATTATATTCCTTTAAAATTGCATTTGTTGTATAGGGATACATGAATTTACATTCCAGCTCTGAATAAGTATGCAAATATTATTTCCCTCTATAGTAATAGGATTCCTTACATTGTCGAATTTCTGTACTCATAGGAGGATTTATAAAGTCTCTTCAAATTAATCACCATGAAAAACTTGCATTTGTTTTTGTTTTCTCCAATAATGATACTTAAAAGACACCACAAATGCTTGCTTAAATGAACAATGTCATAAAGCTTCTCTTTTGATATAAAGTAAGTTTTTTTTTTTTTTTTGAGACAGAGTCTCATTTTGTCACCTGGGCTAGAGTGCTAAAAACTCAGCCTAGCTCACAGCAACCACAAACTCCTGGGCTCAAGCGATCCTCCTACCTCAGCCTCCCTGGTAGCTGGGACTACAGGCATGGGCCACCATGCCCAGCTAATTTTGTACATCTATATATTTTTAGTTGTCCAATTAATTCCTTTCTGTTTTTTTAGTAGAGTCGGGGTCTCGCTCTTGCTCAGGCTGGTCTCGAACCCCTGACCTTGATCGATCCTCCCGCCTCAGCCTCCCCGAGTAGCCGGGACCACAGGCAGGCGCCACCATGCCTGGCTAATTTTTTCTCTATATATATTTTGAGTCGTCCAGCTAATTTCTTTCTCCTTTTTTTAGTAGAGACGGGGTCTCGATCTTGCTCAAGGCTGGTCTCAAACTCCTGACCTTGAGCGATCCTCCCACCTCGGCCTCCCAGGGTGCTAGGATGACAGGCGTGAGCCACAAATAAGTTTTTTTTTTTAAAAGATAAATGTCACTGTGTACATGTGAGGCTTACAATATGACGTTGCAGGACACATGCTGCAGATAACGGTTACCATGACAAAACAGATCAACACGGCTAGCGTCTCGCATAGTCACAGAGTCACCGGCTGCAGCCACCTTCCTACCTGAGGTGACGGAGGGGGCCTTGCAGCTGGACGTGACGCGGTAGTAGGGCGGGTTGTCCGTGTGGGTGACCGCCGAGCTCACGGGGTCCGTCAGCTGCAGCTCGGCCACCAGCTCTTCCAGCAGCTGCATGGTCTTGTCTCTGCCCAGGTACACGATGACCTTCTTCACCTGTCCCCAAAGCAAGCGGTCAGAACAGGAAAAGCAGGGGTCGCGCCCCATCCATTTGTCTGGAGGCAAATTTTATCAAAGTCCAGCGTTAAGTGGGGACGTGAATGCGCACGGTCTGATCTGAGCCTGCTGATGGTCAAGGAGACATTAATCAGCTTTATCGACACTGTCCCCCCTTGAAACCCCAATATCAGATCTCATGTAGAGATGACTGCCCGGCAACGTTTAATGGGTCCCCAACTTTATGCACCTCGTTTGCTTTTTTGCATTCTTTTTTTTTTGAGACCAGAGTCTCCCGAGTAGCTGGACGACCAAGCATCGCGCGCCACCCCATCCCGCTATTTTTCTATATACGTATCGCTTCTGCAATAATTTCTTTCTCATTTATATAGAGACGCGGGTCTCGCTCTGCTCAGGCTGGTTTCGAACTCTGACTCCGCGCAATCCGCCCACCCTCGTCCTCCGCCAGAGTGCGTAGGATCTTACACGGCTTGATCCACGGCGCCCCGGCCCTCTCTTTTTATGTTAAAAAAACAAAATACCACTACATAGCTTTCCTATACACACTGTCTTTTTTGATGGAAATCTCTTCAATTCGCTATCTGCTCTCTCGGATTCTTCCTCTGATTTTCGGTCAGCCAGCCTTCAAAAACCCAGGATTTATCTTGCTTCTGCTTGCCCACCCACACACCCTACCTATATTCATTCACACCCACGTGGCACTGTCTCACGCACGCGGACCTTGAACTTGAACTGCACTGCCCACTCGCAACGTGATCTACTTACCACTCAGCTTACCGTGTCCATCCGCCTCGGGCAAGCCTCACTTCTTTTCTTGTTCTGCTCACGATGGGAACCCCCCGCGTCAGCACCCGCCTCATTCGCGCTGGACTACATCGTCAGATCTGTACTCCGTGACAGCTTTACACCAGCTCAGCTCCATCCCGCCGCACTACTGCACATCCACGTCGGCCACCACCCCTCTTTTTCTTTCTTCTTCTCTGAGACCATCTCATCGTCTCCAGGCTAAGCCTCCGACCGTGCGTCGCGCTCACTCCGCCCCCCCGCGCCACTCTGCGGCTCACCGCTCTCTGCCCAGCCGACGCTAGCGCGCGCTACAGGCATCGCGCCACCCCCCACCGCTCTTTTATATCACTACCCCCTCACTCCTCTTTCTCCTCTCGCTCCAGCTAATTTCTTTCTATTTATAGTAGAGCGGTCTCTCTTGCTCAGGCTGGTCTCGAACGTCTGATCTTGAGCGATCTCCCACCTCCTGGCCTCCCCAGAGTGCTGGAATAACATTTTGTTCAACAATCAAGGAACAAATCCACGGTGCTACTCCACTTCTCGTCTGTCCTCATGTCCTGCCCTTTGTCTCACCTGCTGGCCACTGCTGCCCACGCACTGATCACGACCTCTCGGTAAATAGCACTGTCTTTAACTATATTCATCTAACCACACAACAAAAAAACAGCTAACATGAACTGGTGAATACGCACGTAGAGGCAAGAGGCTTGGCTCGCTGTCTCCGCCACCGGCAGATGCTGATCAAAAATGCAAATGATCTTCAGGTTCTTCGGCACCCGTCGCGACGGTGTGGTCCCGTTCTGCCCGACCCCAGCCAGCTCGTCGCGTACTGGATGCAGCACACCAAGAGGCGACGTCAGGAGACCGCCTGCTGAAGGACAGCTCGCCACCCCGGCGAGCAACTTAGGCACGACGCTTGTCACCACTTAAGCGTCTAATTTTTTCCCACTTTAGACAGGGCAATAACTTCTTCAAATATCTAACGGATAAATATCACCCGTCATGTATGTACAGTAACCATAAAAACAGAAAAGAAAATGAAATTTTATCTATGAGAACCGTTGTTTTATTTTCTTTTCATTTTTACATTCTTTATAAGATAACATTAAATTTATAAATATACTATATCCTATATATTTTTTTTGAGACAGATCTACTTGTGCTGCCAGCTCGAGCTGAGCCGTGGCGTCAGCCTAGGCTCCAGCACCCTCCAACCGCTGGCTCAAGCGATCTCCTGCCTCACCCTCGCAGAGCTGGGACTCACGCAACCTCGCCCCACCCATGCCCGGCCCTCATTCTTCTTTCTACATATATACTTCTTTTTAGTTGTCCACCAATCCCTCTTCTATTGTAAGCAGGCAGACGCGGGCCTTCCTTGCGCCTCGCCTTGCTCAGGCTGGTTCAAACCACGCTGACGCTTCGCAGCAATCCTCTGCCGGCGCTCGGCCCCTCGCCGAGTGGCTACATTACGAGGCGTGCGACCCTCGCGCCCCGGCCTATTAAAATTCATACATATATTTTTATATAAACTCTTTTGTTTCTCTTTTTCACAAAGAAATAGATCAGAGACAGTCTGTTTTATTTATTTTTGTCTTCGACATTCTATCTTCATGTTTTTATTAACTGTTTTTTTTTTTTTCCCGGCATATTATTGGGCGGGAGAAGTTCTGTTTAAAGTGAGGAATGTCAATGCCATTTTGTCTGGTATGCAGATCACCTGATCTCCCACGCTGGTTTCGCGAACCGGGGTTTAACTCTCCTAACTCGCTCATCTCTGGGGCGGCCACAGCAAACAAACCAATTTACCGTTTACCTTTTTTGCAAATGGTATAAAGCTTATAATGTACTACCAGCTGATGCAAGGAAAATGAGTAATAACCACAATAAATTATACAAACTAAAAAAATAACTTTATCTTCTGCTGCCGTCATGTCGATGAGGCTCTGGTTCAGGACCATGGGCCGTGGCCTGGGGCGACGCCCAGCTTCCCCCGCAGCCCGCCGCCTGCTCAGGTTGACCCGATCCCTCTCGGTCTTCGGGCGCGTCGTCGTCGTCCTCGCCGGCCGCCACACGGCCCGCCGTGTCGCCTGGGGGAGGCGACGGGCTGCGGTCACGGCCCCGCGGATGTTCCGTTCACCTCCAGGGCAGCAGGTAGTGCAGCATGGCCTGGCGCCCGGCGGGCTGTGCCGTCTGGATCCTCTGGCTGACCTCTGGAATCACACGCGCCCCACGACAGGCCTGATGTCACCGCGGTGCCCTGTCCTCCGCGATTAACTTCAACTTCCTCTCCTCCTCCTCAAAGACTGGGAAGCCAGATTCTATTCCTATGCTTCGCAAGTAGGAGTGCTCTCTTTCTTTCTATCGGTAATGCGTTTCGCCTCCATGACATCATCAAGAAAATCAACAGCTGCCATAATTATGATCCCAGAAACCCTACTTTGGGGCACACAGCTAAAAAGCACTAAAAGCAGAGACTCAAACAATATACTTTGCAATTACGAGTACTATCTTTCGTTTTATTGATAATAAATTTCACCTCCATGACATCATCAAGAAAATCAACACCTGCCATAATTATGGTCCCAGCAATCCTACTTTGGGGCACACAGCTAAAAAGCACTGAAAGCAGAGACTCAAAAAATATACTTTGCAATTAATTAATTAATTGATTGATTGATTGAGACAGAGTCTCACTTTGTTGCCCAGGCTAGAGTGAGTGCCGTGGCATCAGCTACTCACAGCAACCTCAAACTCCTGGGCTCAAGCATCCCCCCTCCTTGGCCTCCCGTTGTAGCTGGCACTCACAGGCATGCCCACCATGCCCTGGCTCATTTTTTTTCTATAATATTTTAGTTGGCCAATTAATTTGTTTCTATTTTTAGTAGAGACCGGGCCTCGCTCTTGCTCAGGCTGGTCTCGAACTCCTGGCCTTGAGCGATCCTCCCGCCTCGGCCTCCCAGAGTGCTTGCTGAGGATGACAGGCGTGAGCCACCGCGCCCGGGTTTAAAGATAGTTTTTTTAGGAAACGATTGGTAAAGAGGATCCACTGGGCGGTTCCCGGGTCGTACCTGAGAATATGGCGAGAGTGAGCTCAGGTACGCGCGTGCCAGCTCCTCGGACAGCTGGTAGTAGGACACAGAGTACAGGTGCGGCAGAGGGGACAGCTGGCTGAGGACCCCGTCCGTCCTGTGAACCTCCAGCTTGTGAGCATAGCGAAACAGCTTCGGCTCCAGGACCTACAGGAACGCAATCCCGTCGACTTAGCTAGGGTTCCATGGGCCCTATAAAGTTCAGCTATAATTTAAAGCCAAAATAACTTCTGCCCCCAAATATTCCAGTTTAAAAATGATATTGTTATGTACATTACAGAGTATTTCGCTGTGTTAATTACTAATTCCAGGAAATATTTGCAAAAGAGCCCGTAACTGTTTAAAAAGATTTGTTACATTTGTACCCCCATAAGATGCTGAAAGAAAAGAAAAACAAACATATACAGCTATGGAAGAGTGGTAAAAAAGAGGAAAAAAAAAAAAGAGAGAAAACAACAAACAAAAAAATTAATAAAAGAAAAAAAAAGAAAGGAAAGAAAAAAAAAGATTTGTATTCTTTGCAATGATCAGATTAGTAACATGGCCTGAAAATAACTTCAGCAACTTGATACACAATTATTTGAAAATATATCCATGCTTGGTAAATTAACTTTCTGAGCTATTTATCCCAGATCTAATAAAGGAAAGTTATAGGAAGGTATCATAAAAGAGCTACTTTTATATATTAAATAGCTCTCAAAAATATTTCAGCTACATTATTCTC